GTCGACCCGAGACTTTGAAGATTGACATCTCTAAGTACAGGGGAGTCGAAGAGGACTCCCTCTTGAGATGGTTCGTCGAATTGGATGACGTTATAAGGGCGCGTCGCATCGACGACGGGGATATGCAAGTTGCATTTGCCCAGTCAAATCTGGCAGGACGTGCCAAGACTTGGGCACTGGGGCTCAAGTTGCACGACCCATATGCGTTTGGGTCGTTGGAAGTCTTCAAGTCGCGGCTCAGACAAACGTTTGAACCGCCTAGAGCTGAGTTCAGAGCTCGAACCGAACTCTTGAAGCTCAAGCAGGGTAAGCGTGATGTGCACGCTTACGCTCGACATATACGACATCTCACGAGTTGTATAAGTTCCAATCCGGTGGATGAACACACGTTGGTTTCGGTGTTCATGCAGGGTCTTGCGGATGGTCCCGTCAAGACTCACCTATTCCGGCTTGAACTAGATTCACTAGAACAAGCCATTTCCATTGCGGAACAGGAAGACTTCAGTCTGAGACAGGCTCGCGCCAGCTCGACATCATATCGTCAACCGAGACGATTTGACAGCGGAGGTCCAGAGCCGATGGAACTCTGTTATGTAAAGAGCGAGAAGGCTCGCTCTACAGACTACAAGAAGTTGCAGAAATGCAACAGATGTCAAAAGACAGGACACTACGCTTACGAGTGTAGCGCCCCTCGTCCAGTCTCTCGCAACACTGGGCGTAGTGACCGTTCACTCATGAGAAAGGGGCAGGGACGCGGGTCCGCTGTTGGTGCAAAGACGCAACAACGGGATGGACCGTCAAAAAAACGGACAGGATCAGTAGGTGCGGAGCACCCTACTGGTCCAGCAACGTCAAGAGAATTTGTAGGCCTCTTGATGAAGGTTGCTCCCAACACACAAACGTTGTGCGTTGCTGCTCTAGGTAATGAGATCTCACTCATTACCTTGAAACTCGAAGTGACGAATAAGTTGTCCCTTCGAGCTCTAGTCGATTGTGGGGCGTCTAACAATTTTGTGCGACGCCAATCGCTAGAAGATGATCACTTTAAGTTCAGTGAATGTGACACACCTCCTACGAGGATGACGGTACGTCTTGCGACAGGCGCATCCGTAACCGTCATGAAGCGTATATTGAAGATTTACTATACGCTAGAAGATACCCAATATGACGATGACTTTATCGTATTGGATTTGGATGACAAATTTGATGTCATCCTTGGAATACCGTGGCTCAGAAGGTACGAACCACGGATAAACTGGCAACATCGAACAGTAACGATGCCTGCCGCTTGTTCATCAGATGGCCATCTGATGAACGTTTTGGAGCGTCCACAAGCGTGTGGATGTACTACGAGTGAGTGCGATGGCCTCACTTGCGGTACGGTCGTTAGTACGACTGCACAAAACCTTAGTGTAACAAACGGTTACACTTCGGAGCAAAGTTCCGGCGCCTGTGAGGACACACAGGCTGCGCCGAAGGTCCACCACTCGAATAAGTCGAGTGGACCGGGACAAAGATGTATCCCTAGCGGGGAACATCTAGAAGAGAAACAATCGATCGCTCAGGTTAAGCGAAACGATAATCCTAGATCGACTGGAGAGTCTTTCGTTGAGGATCTCGCTGTGGTTGCGCAACCCCAGCTAGAGGAAGTTAAGGGAATAAGTCCCGATGTTATAAATATGGCGGAAATAAGTTCCCCGAAACCCGAGGGAATAAGTCCCCGAGAAGCCGAAAGAATAATTCCTTCGAGGCCTGAGGGAATAAGTCCCCAGGAAATGATAGAGACATTGAATGTCATAGTCAATGACGGATCAAGTGTAGGTGCTTATACACTTGACCTGATTGCGCCTCCGAAGTTGACTTCGGAGATCACTCAGTTGCCAACGCTCGAACGTAAAAGGTTCTTGCGTGATCTGCGTAGTGGCAAAGTCAAGCAGAAGTGCGTACTCGTCACAGAGGACGAGTACGTCGCCGACATAAGGTCAGCAACAGTGTCTACTGAGAACGAGAGAGTTCTCAGTAGTTCATCGATGGACGAGAGTGTCCTAGATGAAAAGACACGAGCTGAGCGATATGACTCCCAATCGTGGGAATCGCTCAAGAAAAATCCTCTCTATGAAGATTTGGTTGAGTTCAAGGATGTATTCCCTGAAACTGTTCCGTGCGAATTACCGAAGGATAAAAGTATTCGACACGAGGTCGAGCTTAAACCAGGCTCGAAGTACTGTGTCATGAAGCAGTGGCCACTGCCTCGTGAACAAGTACTTGCGATCGACAAGCTCTTTGCCGATCGTTTAGCTTCGGGCCATGTGAGGGAATCGACTTCCCCACATAGCTCTCCGACCTTCTGTGTACGAAAAGAAACAGGAGGGTGGCGGATAGTGCATGCGTTCAACAAATTGAACGCTGCAACGGTACCGGCTCAGACGCCGATACCGAGGAAGGACGTAATCATTGATGGTATGTCAAAGAGCACCATCTTTTCGTCCATGGATTTGATGGATGGCTTCTATCAAATCCTTATGCGGGAATGGGATATACCCTATACCGCAGTTAGCACGCCTAGCGGCATGCTCTGGGAATGGCTAGTAATGCCACAAGGGCTTAGTAATGCCCCTGCCACGTTCAACAGATGTGTATCACATCTGTTGAGACCAGTACGAGAATTCGCGCCGAGTTATTTCGATGACGTATTCATCCATAGTCGAGCTATGGATGGAAAGTCGGACGTTGAGGTTCACAGGTACCACGTCCGACAGGTTCTTACAATCATGCGAAAGCATCAATTATATGCAAACCTCAAGAAGTGTATATTTGCAGCAAGCGAAATACCACTTCTTGGGTGCATCGTTGGTAAGAACGGTGTACGTCCTGATCCCGAAAAGATCAAGGCGATCACCGACTGGCCTGTGCCGGTTGATGTCAAAGGTCTTCGAAAATTCCTTGGGCTAGCGGCGTATTTGCATAAGTATTCACGCAATTACGCCGAGATGACTGTGCACCTCTCTCGTTTGTTGAAAAAGAGCGAGAGGTGGTTATGGAACGCTGAATGTCAGCGCTCCTTTGATGGTATCAAGCAGAGCTTGATACAATCCCCAGTCCTAGCAATAGCCGATCAGGACAGGCCATTTCATGTGGTCTGTGATGTCACCGATTTCGTAATCGGCTGTGCATTAATGCAGTACGACCTAGAAGGCGTTGAACGCGTCGTCTGCTATCAGTCGCGTCAGCTGCAACCAGCTGAGCGGAACTATCCAGTGCATGACAAGGAACTCCTTGCCATGAAGTATGCACTCACGAAGTTCAGAGTCTATCTCTTAGGAGATAGACCCTTCATTGTTTACACTGACCATGCGTCATTACGCACGGCAGTGAACAGCCCGCACCTTTCACAACGAATGGCGCGGTGGTTGTCATTCTTTGCAGAATACAACTTTACGGTCGAGTACAAACCAGGACGACTTAATGATACACTACTCGCAACGGTTTACTGTATTATACAGCCGTTTCTGGTGACACACCACGTGTTGTCATTCCAGATGATACTGATCTGCGTTTGCGGATCATGTTCGAGTATCACGATGCTCCTATAGGAGGACATCGTGGCCGGGAGAAAACATATCTCACGGTGAGTCGAGACTTTTACTGGCCCCGCCAGTATCTGTTTGTGCGAAAGTATGTTCGCGCATGCGAAGTCTGCCAACGAGTGAAGTCAAGTCCTTCACTGCGTGCACCTTTACAGCCTCTACCGGTTCCGGCTGAGTGCTGGGAATCCATCTCAATGGATTTTGTCTTCGGGTTACCCAAAGACGCACGCGGGAATACGGGTATTCTCGTATTTGTTGACAGATTCAGCAAAATGGTACACCTTGTGGCTGTACCAGAGACAATCACGGCAATTTGGCTGTGCTTGTGTCTTTATTGACACCATCTTCCGACTTCATGGGTTGCCCCGTGAACTCGTATCAGACAGAGATCCACGATTCACTGCTGATTTCTGGCGTTCCGTGTTCAAATCACTCGGAACGCGCTTGAAGATGTCAACATCTGATCATCCAGAGTCAGATGGTCAGACGGAACGTGCCAATCGTGTCCTTGAAGAGACACTTCGAGGATACGTACACTCCTTTAAATGTTGGAGTGAGTTTTTGCCAATGGTAGAGTTTGCCATTAACAACTCGGTGCATGCGTCCACGACACATACACCGTTTTACGTGAATGGCTTGCGCCATCCGCGTGTACCCACCTTACTAGAGTGTAACTCTGGTTTAAGGGGGGGAGAGACTCGCGCGAGCAAAAAATGATTTGGTTCACGCTCATCACGCTCTGACGAAGAAGTCATTGCGTTTGATGCCGATATCGATAACATCGATATCGAAGAAGATGATGCCAGTGAGAGTGCGGAAGCCCTCACTGAAGAAGATGATCCCAGTGAGGGGGAGGAAGCCCTCACTGAAGAAAAGGTTGATGTTGCTGCAGTGCGCTCACAGCACACTGAAGCTAACGAGTCATCAGATGAGTTCATACTGGCTCGTGAAACGGTAGTCCGTTTTGTGCAAGACTCCATCGCCGAAGCGGTGGATAAGCAAAAGCAAAACGCTGACAAGAATGGAAGGGCAAACACTCTTTTATTCAATAAAGGTGACTTAGTCCTAGTGTCTACGGTTAATCTGCCAAAGCATGTAGTGACTAACTTGGGTAGCAGTAAACTACTACGCAAGTACATCGGTCCATTTCGTGTATTGCACCGCCTAGCCAATGCATACACGATCGAGTTACCACGTAAGATGCGAACGCATCCCACGTTTTACGTTGGTCGGATTAAGCCGTACCATCAGTACGCTGCTTCTTCCGATGAAGAACGCCCTTGCGCTCAAGCATCTCGCAGAGAGCCTTGTGCTCCCGATGGTGGGCATCAACAAGGGTCTGAAGAGCAGTTATCTCATCCTGAGACCGATCAACAATCCCACGAGCTACCCTTAGCTCGTGACGAAGATATGTCAGAGCTCTCTCGTTCTCAAGCTGAGCAAGGCGAACTCAGCTCGATGCTTCGAGGCAGTGTCCGCCAGTTGAAGACGCCTATTCCGCTCAAGTTCGAGATCGCCGCGTAACCCTTGCGTTACGCGATCAAAGAAGCTCTCGGGAACACACGGATCCCCACGATTGTGTGGAGAGCGTCTTCCCTTCTCCTCCACCTCCATTAGAGGACTCTCGCGGTGGCCAGCGCTATCTAGCTGATCAGCTGTTGAACCACCGCAACGTGAACGGACGTCGGACGAGTTATCTCGTCCGGTGGCGCGGCTATCCCCCGTCCTGGGATTCTTGGGAGCCCCGCTCCCAACTGATGGTTGACGTACTGGGTCTGGTTGAGCAGTACGACGCGGCACATCCTGTTCCGCAGAAGGACCGCCGGAGAAAGTCTTCCCGGCACGGTCGTAAAGGGATTTCAGGTTGTCAATCCCTTCGTACATCTCAGTAGAGATACGTACGCGCCACCAAGGGCTAGCAAGGAGGTAAGCCTCCTTAGGTGCTCGTGCAGAGTTGTTCACACAACATGGGCGCGAGTCTCCCCAAGAGAGGCAGGGTAATCCTTTCTCCCTTGACAGACGATGCAGCTTGTAGCGTGCACCTGTCGGGGTTCGCTTTTCAAACTTATCACGAGCTTTGATAAGTTTGTCGTTCCAAACGTCACGACCTACATCCTCAAGGTTATGGATGTAAGCGTTCCACGCTTGAAGCAGTGAGGGACCATCACGCTTGTGATTCCCACTGTACCATCGATGTCTAAAGAAAGCATCGATGAAGAATTCACTCTCAGCGCGATAGTTTTTCGCGCTGGGGTCAAGGTGATGGATCCTTGACGAATCGAACGACCGTGTTCGATAACAATCACTCGTCGTCGCCGACAAGTGATCCATGACGGATTTAGGAGGCATCCATGCCTTCTTCTCGGGAGCGAGACGCAACACGTTGCGTTCCCGCTCTTCCTGCGACGTGCCGACAGAAGGACTGGCACCTCGTTGCGAAGTGGTGTCCATAGGAGAACCGACACCACTGTTAGCGCCCGAGTCTCGCGACCTCTAGAGCCTTCGCTTCGGCGATAGTTCATCTGATTCATTAGATGAACCAAAGATGCTGCGACGCAAAGCATCATCCATGCCACGCTTGGCAGGCGGCTTGGATTCGATCGCCGTCGATACGGATCCGTCTTCCGTATCAGGAGAGTACGAGACACCGAGATCATACTCTGTGAAGACATGAGTGTCTTCATGACCAGCGCCTGCATCACCAAGTTACACAGACTGGGTCGCTTCAGCAACCGATGAGACATCAGTTGCTGTGGTTTCTGCTTCGGCGTCCGCACAGAGACGTGCGGACGCGCTCTCGGCGGCCTTGCTCGCGCATCGCATGGGCTTGTTAACCATGCGATGAATTGTTGGAAAGTGGACTCGGACCAACAAGTGCAAACCCTGTCCCAAATGATTTGGGACGAGTATCCATTTAGTCAATCAGTCACTAAAGTGACTGATGGTTAAGGGGGGTGATGTAACGGGGTGAATCGTTACATAACAATTTATAAGAAATTGTTAATAGAATATAACTATAAGAGTTATATTCTCAGAATATTGTCATAAGGACAAATATTCTGTAGCACTTACGAGTAGTTCCTAATTGGTTGATATAGGCCATTATATCAACCAACGAAGACGCGCCACGACAGACGCACGCAATGAGTGGTGAGCAGATAGCTGATATACACATTTGTATTTAGACATAGTTAGATGAGGATAAACAGGGGGTTTATTACAGACATTAACTATTATAAATACAGTTCTACTTTTTACTTTAACCAAGTACTCGCTTCTTCTTACCGTCTTCCTCTGCACGTACGAGTGTACGTGAAGTTCCGAGGCACCGCCTCATTCTGTTATCAGAATAAGTAGCTTGTACTGTCATCAGTACAAGCTTCAGGGTGCCCCGTTACACACCACGCTTAAAGCGTGTTCAAGACGCGTGGTTATCGCCGTTGATTTTTTGATGATTTATGTCTTGATGGAATGAATGTGGGCTGGGATTTTGTTACAAAAATTAGGATGAACCAGTCAAGAAAGCCCTATTTCTGCTGATTCGAGTCATGCCATTTCCTTTTCGATCAGCTAAAATGCTAAGGTGCAAGGGTTAACCCCCTTAAGAATATGTAAAGCTGCACGAAACTAGAAGTTTACTTTTGACAATACATCACCACGTGTAAGTAGTTTTATTAAACTTGAAGCAGGCTGCGTGAAACCCTTTGCTATGTTTGCGCTTACGTATGGGTCATCTGCAAGAATCACTTATCGACTATAACTAGCCAGTACATGTTACGAATACGACGATACGCGACTCAGGCTTGCCCAATAGTCATGTTTCTACAAGAGATAACTGGACGACACCAGATTTGTAACGGGGCACCCTGAAGCTTGTACTGGTTACAGTACAAGCTACTTATTCTGATGACAGAATAAGGCGGTGCCTCGTAACTTCACGTACACTCGTACGTGCAGAGGTAGACGGTAAGAAGAAGCGAGTACTTGGTTAAAGTAAAAAGTAGAACTGTATTTATCATAGTTAATGTCTGTTATTAAACTACTTTTTATCCTCATCTAACTATGTCTAAATGCAAATGTGCATATCAACTATCTGATCACCACTCATTGCGTGCGTCTATCGTGGCGCGTCTTCGTTGGTTGATATAATGGCCTATATCAACCAAATAGGAACTACTCGTAAGTGCTACAGAATATTTGTCCTTACGACAATATTCTGAGAATTTAACTCTTATAGTTATATTCTAAGAACCATTCTTATAAATTGTTATGTAACGATTCACCCCGTTACATCACCCCCCCTTAACCATCAGTCACTTTAGTGACTGATTGACTAAATGGATACTCGTCCCAAATCATTTGGGACAGGGTTTGCACTTGTTGGTCCGAGTCCACTTTCCAACAATTCATCGCATGGTTAACAAGCCCATGCGATGCGCGAGCAAGGCCGCCGAGAGCGCGTCCGCACGTCTCTGTGCGGACGCCGAAGCAGAAACCACAGCAACTGATGTCTCATCGGTTGCTGAAGCGACCCAGCCTGTGTAACTTGGTGATGCAGGCGCTGGTCATGAAGACACTCATGTCTTCACAGAGTATGATCTCGGTGTCTCGTACTCTCCTGATACGGAAGACGGATCCGTATCGACGGCGATCGAATCCAAGCCGCCTGCCAAGCGTGGCATGGATGATGCTTTGCGTCGCAGCATCTTTGGTTCATCTAATGAATCAGATGAACTATCGCCGAAGCGAAGGCTCTAGAGGTCGCGAGACTCGGGCGCTAACAGTGGTGTCGGTTCTCCTATGGACACCACTTCGCAACGAGGTGCCAGTCCTTCTGTCGGCACGTCGCAGGAAGAGCGGGAACGCAACGTGTTGCTTCTCGCTCCCGAGAAGAAGGCATGGATGCCTCCTAAATCCGTCATGGATCACTTGTCGGCGACGACGAGTGATTGTTATCGAACACGGTCGTTCGATTCGTCAAGGATCCATCACCTTGACCCCAGCGCGAAAAACTATCGCGCTGAGAGTGAATTCTTCATCGATGCTTTCTTTAGACATCGATGGTACAGTGGGAATCACAAGCGTGATGGTCCCTCACTGCTTCAAGCGTGGAACGCTTACATCCATAACCTTGAGGATGTAGGTCGTGACGTTTGGAACGACAAACTTATCAAAGCTCGTGATAAGTTTGAAAAGCGAACCCCGACAGGTGCACGCTACAAGCTGCATCGTCTGTCAAGGGAGAAAGGATTACCCTGCCTCTCTTGGGGAGACTCGCGCCCATGTTGTGTGAACAACTCTGCACGAGCACCTAAGGAGGCTTACCTCCTTACTAGCCCTTGGTGGCGCGTACGTATCTCTACTGAGATATACGAAGGGATTGACAACCTGAAATCCCTTTACGACCGTGCCGGGAAGACTTTCTCCGGCGGTCCTTCTGCGGCACAGGATGTGCCGCGTCGTACTGCTCAACCAGACCCAGTACGTCAACCATCAGTTGGGAGCGGGGCTCCCAAGAATCCCAGGACGGGGGATAGCCGCGCCACCGGACGAGATAACTCGTCCGACGTCCGTTCACGTTGCGGTGGTTCAACAGCTGCTCAGCTAGATAGCGCTGGCCACCGCGAGAGTCCTCTAATGGAGGTGGAGGAGAAGGGAAGACGCTCTCCACACAATCGTGGGGATCCGTGTGTTCCCGAGAGCTTTGATCGCGTAACGCAAGGGTTACGCGGCGATCTTGAACTTGAGCGGAATAGGCGTCTTCAACTGGCGGACACTGCCTCGAAGCATCGAGCTGAGTTCGCCTTGCTCAGCTTGAGAACGAGAGAGCTCTGACATATCTTCGTCACGAGCTAAGGGTAGCTCGTGGGATTGTTGATCGGTCTCAGGATGAGATAACTGCTCTTCAGACCCTTGTTGATGCCCACCATCGGGAGCACAAGGCTCTCTGCGAGATGCTTGAGCGCAAGGGCGTTCTTCATCGGAAGAAGCAGCGTACTGATGGTACGGCTTAATCCGACCAACGTAAAACGTGGGATGCGTTCGCATCTTACGTGGTAACTCGATCGTGTATGCATTGGCTAGGCGGTGCAATACACGAAATGGACCGATGTACTTGGGTAGTAGTTTACTGCTACCCAAGTTAGTCACTACATGCTTTGGTAGATTAACCGTAGACACTAGGACTAAGTCACCTTTATTAAATAAAAGAGTGTTTGCCCTTCCATTCTTATCAGCGTTTTGCTTTTGCTTATCCACCGCTTCGGCGATGGAGTCTTGCACAAAACGGACTACCGTTTCACGAGCCAGTATGAACTCATCTGATGACTCGTTAGCTTCAGTCCACTGTGAGCGCACTGCAGCAACATCAACCTTTTCTTCAGTGAGGGCTTCCTCGCTCTCACTGGCATCATCTTCTTCGATATCGATGTTTTCGATATCGGCATCAAACGCAAAGACCTCTTCGTCGGAGCGTGATGAGCGTGAACCAAATCATTTTTTGCTCGCGCGAGTCTCTTCATCCCTTAAACCAGAGTTACACTCTAGTAAGGTGGGTACACGCGGATGGCGCAAGCCATTCACGTAAAACGGTGTATGTGGCGTGGACGCATGTACCGAGTTGTTAATGGCAAACTCTACCATGGGCAAGAACTCACTCCAAATCTTAAAGGAGTGTACGTATCCTCGAAGTATCTCTTCGAGGACACGATTGGCACGTTCCGTCTGACCATCTGACTCTGGATGATCAGATGTCGACATCTTCAAGCGCGTTCCGAGTGATTTGAACACGGAATGCCAGAAATCAGCAGTGAATCGTGGATCTCTGTCTGATACGAGTTCACGGGGCAACCCATGAAGTCGGAAGATGGTGTCAATAAAGACACAAGCACAGCCACTTGCCGTGATTGTCTCTGGTACAGCCACAAGGTGTACCATTTTGCTGAATCTGTCAACAAATACGAGAATACCCGTATTCCCGCGTGCGTCTTTGGGTAACCCGAAGACAAAATCCATTGAGATGGATTCCCAGCACTCAGCCGGAACCGGTAGAGGCTGTAAAGGTGCACGCAGTGAAGGACTTGACTTCACTCGTTGGCAGACTTCGCATGCGCGAACATACTTGCGCACAAACTGATACTGGCGGGGCCAGTAAAAGTCTCGACTCACCGTGAGATATGTTTTCTCCCGGCCACGATGTCCTCCTATAGGAGCATCGTGATACTCGAACATGATCCGCAAACGCAGATCAGTATCATCTGGAATGACAACACGTGGTGTGTCACCAGAAACGGCTGTATAATACAGTAAACCGTTGCGAGTAGTGTATCATTAAGTCGTCCTGGTTTGTACTCGACCGTAAAGTTGTATTCTGCAAAGAATGACAACCACCGCGCCATTCGTTGTGAAAGGTGCGGGCTGTTCACTGCCGTGCGTAATGACGCATGGTCAGTGTAAACAATGAAGGGTCTATCTCCTAAGAGATAGACTCTGAACTTCGTGAGTGCATACTTCATGGCAAGGAGTTCCTTGTCATGCAATGGATAGTTCCGCTCAGCTGGTTGCAGCTGACGCGACTGATAGCAGACGACGCGTTCAACGCCTTCTAGGTCGTACTGCATTAATGCACAGCCGATTGCGAAATCGCTGGCATCACAGACCACATGAAATGGCCTGTCCTGATCGGCTATTGCTAGGACTGGGGATTGTATCAAGCTCTGCTTGATACCATCAAAGGAGCGCTGACATTCAGCGTTCCATAACCACCTCTCGCTCTTTTTCAACAAACGAGAGAGGTGCACAGTCATCTCGGCGTAATTGCGTGAATACTTATGCAAATACGCCGCTAGCCCAAGGAATTTTCGAAGACCTTTGACATCAACCGGCACAGGCCAGTCGGTGATCGCCTTGATCTTTTCGGGATCAGGACGTACACCGTTCTTACCAACGATGCACCCAAGAAGTGGTATTTCGCTTGCTGCAAATATACACTTCTTGAGGTTTGCATATAATTGATGCTTTCGCATGATTGTAAGAACCTGTCGGACGTGGTACCTGTGAACCTCAACGTCCGACTTTCCATCCATAGCTCGACTATGGATGAATACGTCATCGAAATAACTCGGCGCGAATTCTCGTACTGGTCTCAACAGATGTGATACACATCTGTTGAACGTGGCAGGGGCATTACTAAGCCCTTGTGGCATTACTAGCCATTCCCAGAGCATGCCGCTAGGCGTGCTAACTGCGGTATAGGGTATATCCCGTTCCCGCATAAGGATTTGATAGAAGCCATCCATCAAATCCATGGACGAAAAGATGGTGCTCTTTGACATACCATCAATGATTACGTCCTTCCTCGGTATCGGCGTCTGAGCCGGTACCGTTGCAGCGTTCAATTTGTTGAACGCATGCACTATCCGCCACCCTCCTGTTTCTTTTCGTACACAGAAGGTCGGAGAGCTATGTGGGGAAGTCGATTCCCTCACATGGCCCGAAGCTAAACGATCGGCAAAGAGCTTGTCGATCGCAAGTACTTGTTCACGAGGCAGTGGCCACTGCTTCATGACACAGTACTTCGAGCCTGGTTTAAGCTCGACCTCGTGTCGAATACTTTTATCCTTCGGTAATTCGCACGGAACAGTTTCAGGGAATACATCCTTGAACTCAACCAAATCTTCATAGAGAGGATTTTTCTTGAGCGATTCCCACGATTGGGAGTCATATCGCTCAGCTCGTGTCTTTTCATCTAGGACACTCTCGTCCATCGATGAACTACTGAGAACTCTCTCGTTCTCAGTAGACACTGTTGCTGACCTTATGTCGGCGACGTACTCGTCCTCTGTGACGAGTACGCACTTCTGCTTGACTTTGCCACTACGCAGATCACGCAAGAACCTTTTACGTTCGAGCGTTGGCAACTGAGTGATCTCCGAAGTCAACTTCGGAGGCGCAATCAGGTCAAGTGTATAAGCACCTACACTTGATCCGTCATTGACTATGACATTCAATGTCTCTATCATTTCATGGAGACTTGTTCCCTCAGGCCTCGAAGGAATTATTCTTCGGTTCCGGGGACTTACCCTCGGGTTTCGGGGAACTTAATTCCCTCGGCCGTATTTATAACATCGGGAACTTATTTCCGCCGTATTTATAACAACCACAGCGGACTTATTCCCTTAAAAGACTTTCTCCAGTCTGCGGTAATCTCCGATCTAGGATAATCGTTTCGCTTAACCTGAGCGATCGATGGTTTCTCTTCTAGATGTTCCCCGCTAGGGATACATCTTTGTCCCGGTCCACTCGACTTATTCGAGTGGTGGACCTTCGGCGCAGCCTGTGTGTCCTCACAGGCGCCGGAACTTTGCTCCGAAGTGTAACCGTTTGTTACACTAAGGTTTTGTGCAGTCGTACTAACGACCGTACCACAAGTGAGGCCATCGCACTCACTCGTAGTACATCCACACGCTTGTGGACGCTCCAAAACGTTCATCAGATGGCCATCTGATGAACAAGCGGCAGGCATCGTTACTGTCCGATGTTGCCAGTTTACCCGTGGTTCGTACCTTCTGAGCCACGGTATTCCAAGGATGACATCAAATTTGTCATCCAAATCCAATACGATAAAGTCATCGTCGTCTTGGGTATCTTCTAGCGTATAGTGGATCTTCACTATACGCTTCATGACGGTTACGGATGCGCCTGTCGCAAGACGTACCGTCATCCTCGTAGGAGGTGCGTCACATTCACTGAACTTGAAGTGACCATCTTCTAGCGATTGGCATCGCACAAAATTGTTAGACGCCCCACAATCGACTAGAGCTCGAAGGGACAACTTATTCGTCACTTCGAGTTTCAAGGTAATGAGTGAGACCTAATTACCTAGAGCAGCAACGCACAACGTTTGTGTGTTGGGAGCAACCTTCATCAAGAGGCCTACAAATTCTCTTGACGTTGCTAGACCAGTAGGGTGCTCCGCACCTACTGATCCTGTCCGTTTTTTGACGGTCCATCCCGTTGTTGCGTCTTTGCACCAACTGCGGACCCTCATCCCTGCCCCTTTCTCATGGGTGGACGGTCACTACGCCCAGTGTTGCGAGAGACTGGACGAGGGGCGCTACACTCGTAAGCGTAGTGTCCTGTCTTTTGACATCTGTTGCATTTCTGCAACTTCTTGTAGTCTGTAGAGCGAGCCTTCTCGCTCTTTACATAACAGAGTTCCATCGGCTCTGGACCTCCGTTGTCATACCGTCTCGGTTGACGATATGATGTCGAGCTGGCGCGAGCCTGTCTCAGACTGAAGTCTTCCTGTTCCGCAATGGAAATGGCTTGTTCTAGTGAATCTAGTTCAAGTCGGAACAGGTGAGTCTTGACGGGACCATCCGCAAGACCCTGCATGAACACCGAAACCAACGTGTGTTCATCCACCGGATTAGAACTTATACAACTCGTGAAATGTAATAAATGTTGTGCGTAAGTGTGCACATTACGCTTACCCTTTATGAGCTTCAAGAGTTCAGTTCGAGCTCTGAACTCAGCTCTAGGCGGTTCAAACGTTTGTCTGAGCCGCGACTTGAAGACTTCTAACGACCCAAACGTATATGGGTCGTGCAACTTGAGCCCCAAAGCCCAAGTCTTGGCACGTCCTGCCAGATTTGACTGGGAAAATGCAACTTGCATATTCCCGTCGTCGATGCGACGCGCCCTTATGGCGTCGTCTAATTCGACGAACCGTCTCAAGAGGGAGTCCTCGTTGACTCCCCTGTACTTGGAGATGTCAATCTTCAAGGTCTCGGGTCGATGCGAGTGCATCGACCCACCAGCAGCAGCCTGCTGCTATCTCAACAGTTCAAACTGTTGAGCACCCTGTTCTCTCAACAACTCTGCTTGTTGAGAACCTTGTTGGTGAAGCAAGGCTACTTTCTCGCGTTCTGCGTCAAGTTCATTTTGAATGAACTTGGCGATAGTAGCATTTGGGGCATCTCTATTGAGAGCCTCTAGCATGACGCTAACAGCGTGGATGCCCATGGTTGAACCCATCCGTTCAACCGCATCCCATTCGACATCGTTCAAATGGGAGTAGCCGTCACGCGTAGCGTGAAAGCTTTGGTCATCTTCATCATCCAACATATTCATGTTGGATGTGAACGTGGTCCTTGGACGGACTACGAAGTGCTACCAGGTGTAACGGGGCACCCTGAAGCTTGTACTGGTGACAGTACAAGCTACTTATTCTGATGACAGAATAAGGCGGTGCCTCGTAACTTCAGTTGAGTTAAAGTAAAAAGTAGAAGTGTACTTATAATAGTTAATGTCTGCAATAAATCACTATTTATCTTCATCTAACTATGTCTAAATACAAATGTGTAAATCAACTATCTGCTCACCACTCATTGCGTGCGTCTGTCGTGGCGCGTCTTCGTTGGTTGATATAATGGCCTATATCAACCAATTAGGAACTACTCGTAAGTGCTACAGAATATTTGTCCTTATGACAATATTCTGAGAATATAACTCTTATAGTTATATTCTATTAACAATTTCTGATAAATTGTTATGTAACGATTCACCCCGTTACAAGATTAATTTAGCGGATCTCCTCGTTTGACTTCACTTAAGCAAAACTCGACCGGATACTTTTCCATCTATAATGCACAAGATACACTTCCTCGTCAAATTCTTTGGAAGAGTGGTCAACGCAGACACCATCACGAGAAAACAACGCGCTAGTTGACATCCGCCGAGTTAATTAAATCAGTAGCGATTTTTTGCATCTCCACCTCGGTCAAAAATCGCTACTGATTTGATAGTAAAAAGAATGTCGTCATCGTTCCTTGTAACTAGTTCTATATTCGCAGAGTCCATGGAACGTGCTGCGTGAAACAAGAGCGCTACATACAACACGCACTTTTTAGTCCATTACGAAAGATCAATGAATAGTTTACAGGTCGGTGAGTCCGTTGATACATTTGACTAATCAATTTCCGCGACAAATTCACAGAGCGCGTATCGTAATCCAACTGTCATTTTCAATTGGTCTCCGATACACTTACGTAAATGCTGTCAACACTTAATATAAGCGCGCTCAGCTTCTACCGTGCAGCTCCACAGCAACGCGTGAGTCTGGAAGACTTTGAGAAGTTGGGACATGAACGCCTGGAGCTGTTGAGTCAGATACAAACTCGACGGAGTTTGCATTCACCATATCAAGCAGCAGAATCTTTCGTTGACATGGCATTGCAACAACTTTCACCAGATTCTAACGCCGATCGACTGTCGCATTACGTCTTGCGTCTCGCATTTTGCCGGTACCTTTTATCCTTCATCTTCATCGCTGTCAACCAATAATTGACATCTTACATGACCTTGCATGTGTCTGTCTGTCCATGCAAAACACTTAGAGTTTCAAGTAATTGGGACTGGCTCGTGACTGCTGAAGTAAAGCTCTTGGCTGTCCGTCTCGAGGATCTTCCACCGTATGCAGCTGTCGCGCTGCTGCTAAGCGAAGGAATCAAATACGAGCTACTGAATGCAGATGATCTGAAGCTCGACGTGACACAACACGGTTTTTACCGTGTCCCGTTCACCGATGCACCTGCCTTGGTGCGGTCCCGTGACGTGGTTATTGCTGACGGATTCTGCTTTGTACCTCTCCGCAAGATGAAAGCCGTAGCTTTACATCGCTTCCGACGATCATTGCAGGACCAAATGCGCGACTTACAGTGCACCATACCCGCACAGAACCCATCAGAACTGGAACGCTTGACACCGATTCTCGATGCGCTTGTCGCAAAGGCTCATGCATTAAACGGGTCTGCGAGTGCAGTAACAACGAAATCGGGCACACAAAAGCTCGAAGCGGCGACAATCGACCAGGCCGCTGACAAGCACTTTCCGTTATGCATGAAGCAGCTTCACCGCAAGCTCCGCGAGCATCATCATTTGAAATACGACGGACGTGTGCAGTACCGGATGTTCCTCAAAGGCGCGGGATTCTCGGTTCACGAGTGCATTCAATTTTTCCGAAGCGAATTCGTCAAGAAGATCGCAGCTGCCAAGTTTGACAAGGAGTATGCGTACCACATTCGCCACAGCTATGGACTGGAAGGAGCTCGAAAAGATTATGCGCCTCTGGACTGCGAGCAAATAATTGCTGGCAATGCACCGGGACACGGGCAATATCACGGCTGCCCATTTAAACACTGGAGCCCGTCAGCATTGCAGACTGAACTGCGTCGCCAGGGGCTTTCGCTCCACACTGCGATGGAGATCACGCATCAAGCATCCGCAGGTCATTGTCAACGTGCATGCCGAGCACTTTTTGATGAGTTGCACCCGTCAAGTGGTCAGTATACTACCAAGACTATGCAAAAGGATCATCATGGTCAAGACGCTAATACCTCCAGGCTGAACATCATGCGGCATCCGAACGAGTATCTGGCCGCAAGCATGGCTACATATGTCGGCAACTAGATGGCTACATACTGAAAAGTATCCGTTTGACTGGTTCCTGTCATTTGCCGAATGGACGCGATGGGTACAACTGGGTTGACCCCTGCAGTATCATCGTCCAGTGTATTTCCCAGGGATTGGGGTGCACTTACTAATGGCAGTGTATCCATGGCGCAGCTATGGGCGATTCTGCGTGAATTGCGGAACTCGGTTGGACAAAGTGAGCTACTGCCATTATTGGACGGCTCGCGACCATTCATTTATGTGCATCTTAAAATAGTACGTTCTCTCTTGCTAATTGTGGTTGTTCTGCTTGTCTGCTGTGACGTTGTGGTGCATCTGTAGAAGTTGTGGATAACGCTATTGCAAAGGTGATGAAGCTATCGGTGGAGAAAGTGGGACAGGTTGCACCAACGGACGGTCGGAGAAAGACGAAGAAGGAGAAGCAGCTGCTGAGACAGCAAAAGAAGGCTGCAAGTGGTGATGGTGGTGGTGGTGAAATGAGACAGGGTCAATTGATGCCGACAAAAAAGAAGAAGCTGCGCGAGTTTAACATGGCTAATTACACGACGCGTGCTGTAGCAATCAAGTTTCTGTACGTGGGGGAAAAGTACGCTGGCTTTGCCCGCCAAGATCACATGCCGGAGACAGTTGAGCGCTATCTTTTAGACGCACTTGTTCGCTCCAAGCTCATTCAGAATGTGGACGACGCTGGCTATTCGCGGTGTGGACGAACGGATCGCGGTGTTAGCGCTTTCGGACAAGTTGTGGCCTTACGCGTGCGATCGAATCTACCAGCGACTGCTACATTACTTGGAGCAACCTCAATTGATAACGTGCGTCCAGGTGAGAAGTTTCAGGCACGTTTGGCAACGGGCGAAGTCAGGACGCTCACCGAGGTGGACTACGCGTCGCAGATTAATCGTGGACTACCAGCCGATGTTCGCGTCTACTCCGTGGCATGTTGTCGTCAACAGTTTAGTGCTCGATTCGACTGCAAGGGACGGATGTATCGCTACTTTTTCGTGCGACGTGACCTGGACATTGAGAAGATGCGCAGAGCTGCACAGTTCCTTGTGGGAAAGCATGACTTTCGCAACTTTTGCCGCATTGATCACAACTGCCACGTGTACGAGCGCAGTGTCGGCTCGTTTGAGATCGTGGAATGGCCCGGACAGTGTGCTGACGATTCGAGTCAGCAGATGTACTGCTGTAAGGTCTTCGGCCGTGCGTTTTTGTGGCACCAGGTGCGCTGCATGGTTGAGGTGCTGTTCCTGATTGGATCAGGACAAGAAGAGCCGTGTATCATTCCAGAGCTATTGGATATTGAGCGAACCCCACGAAAACCGCAGTACGACATGGCCTCGGACTTGCCTCTTGTGCTGCACGACTGCTTCTTCGGTGACCCCGATGACGCTGATGAACCTGGTCCACGTTTTGAGTACACTCCACTCGCGTTGCTTCAGGTCCATACTCAGCTCATGGAGATGTGGGAGCAGCGGTCCGTGCAAGCAGCGATGCTGCGTAGCCATCTCGATGCACTCGAAGCATTTCAGGTCGACGCAGCTCTTGTGGTGAAGGACCTGGATCACTACGCACCCAAGTTGGAGCAACTCATGCGGGAACGCAAACTCTTGACGGACAAAGACAGCAAAGTGCAGTGGAAAGACGTGAGTCCTCTGCTCTCTTTGGCCAAGAAACGGAAGATATTGCCACTAACGAAGCGCGGAACGGGTCATTCCGTCGACGAGTGCAAACGAAAAGCTCAGGAACGGAAGCGGCGACGCCAAGAAGAAGAGGAATCAGCAAAGCAAGTGACGGAAGTAGGTCAAGCGGAAGTTGAAGACGGCGCAAGTGGACACGATGTTCTTGCTAGAACGTTGTAACTGCTGCTGTTGTCGTCATTTGTTCACCAAGCACACTATTGAGCAACAGAAGACTGGTTCCAGTCATTGGGTTTCAAATCAACCTACTGTTTGTGAATCTTCACAGCTTGAGATCCACTCGATGTTTTTTACTGCTACTTGGGACAAGAGACAAAGGATCACCAGCTGCTGCGAGCGAAGACCATGTGTACAGTTCGAGCAGGTTGAAGCTTGCAACTCTTGACTTTCAATCTATTATTCCCTTTCGTTGGTTATGGCGAAAGTGGTGCGCCTTGTCCAAAACCAAAACGTCTGTGTAGACCGGACGCGGAGCCCTGTGCACGGACACTTGGTCCAGAATACTGGACCAAGTCGTATCGTCCACCGAGTAGAGGAGCTAAACGGCAAAAATTCGTGTGTTATAGTAAATACTGCACGGCTAAGAGGCCTCGATAAACTAACTAATTGTACAAGGGCTTGTTGCTCCACTACAGCAGCTTTGTCGGACTATCGTACATGTGTAGGCTGCTGCACCTTGTCGGGATTGGGGGATGGGTCCTTTCTTGAGCGTCTTGGCGAATAAAGGATGTGGTCGATTAATCATGAGCAGTTCACGGCACTATTGCAATCAAGCGCTTTTTCAAAGCTTGTTACCGCGACCCACGCTTCTTCTGAGCTTCAGCTGCCTGCGCCGCTTCGATGGGCGTCACAGGTGCAACCTCTTGCTCGTTCTGGTTGAAGCATACGATAATGGCGCTCACGTTGTCCGTCGACCCAAGTGCGATGGCATGGCTCACGAGCTCCTCGGTCGCGTGCTGGACGTCTCCGTGAAGACCCAGCTTGGCCCGCACAAAGTTCACGACGTCTTGGGGCTTCATCACATCGAAGAGTCCGTCGCAACCAAGTACCATGAACTCATCTTGACTCTTGATCTCGTGCACTACAATGTCAGGCGTAGCACTGACCAGATCACCATTGAACCTGCTCTTGAACTCTCCTCGTCCAGTCTTAAAATCAATGTCACCAAAAGCACGAGAGACGCCAAGCATGCCGTAAATCCTGCCCTTGGACACCTGCCCTTTCGCGGCAAGAATCCTCTCTCGTTCACTAGAAAGCTGTGGCGTGTGAGCGATGCACATGTCTTTTGCCTGGCCACTCGTGGACAAGACGACCTGTGAGTCCCCTACAGAAGACACGAGCGCCGTGCTGCCACGAACGACAACCGACACAGCAGTAGATCCACTGGGCAATTGCGCTTTAATTATCTCTTCGTCCGTAGCACCACAAGCTCTCCGCACGGCTTCTCTAAGAACCTTATCCGGGGTCCGCACACTCCGTGCCTTCTCCACTTCATTCATCACTGCTTTCCGAAGATACTTGAACACGTTATCATGAAAGTTCCGAGCCAAATACTCGGCCACTTCCGATCCACCGTGGCCGTCGTACAGCCCAAAGAAAGCCACGAGATCGTCGTCAATCATCTGTGACGTGCTCGTTTGTCGGTCCTCATTGTCTCTCCGAACGCCCGTGTTCGAGTAAACCCCGTAGCTTAACCGAAGCTGAGGGAAGTACTGACCTGCTGGTCGGCGCAACACGAGCGTCCGCTCCGTGTCTGAGGCAGTAGTGGCCGTTGAAAAGACACTGCCACTGGGACTAATCGGTGGACAAGTGCTGGATGCAGGTGATACTAAACTCTCTCGAGGAGGCACGTCAATGGGCATGCCACGCTCCCCAAAGATACTAAAGACATCCCGGTGGGAGTCACTTGCTGGCGGTCGACCAGCTCCCACGCCGCTCTCGTCACGGGCGATCTGCTTGGACGCAGCTTGGAGGAAGATCTCGTTGAGACTGGGCCGTCGTTCATTGGGACTCACGGGCAGAACGTCTTTCGACGTCTGACAGCCCATCGACAGCTTTGGCAGGCGAATGGTGACGAGGCGCTTGGACACGGTCGCTGACTCGACAGGACCGAGTTCGAACGACTTGCGGGAGCGACGCTGGTACCTGCATATTCATTCATACACACAGAGCGAGAGAGAGAGAGAGACGTATAGATAGATGGTTAGGAGATTATTGTCCAAGTTGATGATAGGCTGGTAAAGAGCGTATGGGTGGCGGAACTGACGTGGGTGGCAAAAAAGCGGGATGAATCAAGCAGTTTGTATTCCACTTTATTGTCAGCCGCCATAACGCCATCGATAAAGTCAGTAATAACGTACGGATGCGCAAAAAAACGGCAAGTTGATGATGACTGGGTAGTCGTCGTAGTAGTAGTAGTACTACGGAATGGAGCAGGTGCGTGTTAAGTACGTGCGTACTTCGAATCAACGTTGGAAGTACGAGGGACGAGCTTGCTGCTAATGAGCTGCTGCTCGAATGCGCTCGGAGAGGGACGAGGGACCAACGAGAGGCGGCTGTTGCCACCTGCGGGGGAGACTTCCTTTCTGTGAATGACGCCATCCCTTCTGCGGCCCGCGTCGGTCGTTTTTGCCACCGCGGCTGGAACGGGGCGGGCGTAGAAAGACGAGAAGAGCCAGTCGAGCGGCCAATCGCGACACACGATCGGTCTGGACTCATTGGGCGTCTCTATGGATCGCGGAAAACCACCTGCTCGCCATCGTGTCTGATCGCCCCGTTGCCGCCTCAGACAACGACCATGTCAGCAACGCCAACGACGACGACGACGATGACGACGACACGCCACGCCCTCCCACGCTCGTTTCGCCGCCCGTTCTTCAACTTGCCTGGACGAGCGAGCCCAATCAGGTGCTGTCGCTTCTTCTATGGCCACACCTCAAGTCAAGTCGAGCTGCGGCTGGTGCTGGTGCTGCCATTTCTGCTTGGAAATAGTGCACGCCTGATTGTCACAGACGAGAGTTACCACCCACTCGTCTCGCCTTTTGTTAGCAACACACACATGTCGCCTTGTTCACGTGGGCAATACGAAAATGTGGGAACTGCTCGTGCCAGCGTGTTGCCTGATAGTTGAGCTGCAAGGGAGTGGCTTGGAAGCGGTGAAGTGCGTGTGTTACGCCCCACCGTGTAATTGCAGGCGAGTTGAAATATTGCAACCGTCTGCTCAACTTTGTTGCGATTACGGTGGAATAGCTTGCGCACTTACGTCGTGCGCTAAAGGCAGCAGGGAAGACTAGAGTTGACTTTGTGCTACGCTCCAGCTCACAACTGGAAGCAGCTTGTCCGAGTGACTTGAGTTTGACTGTTTTGCAGCAAGAATTGCGCCACTCTAGCTACTCAGAGACGGGCGTGCTTGCTTTGGGGACTTGCCGTTCAGCTGCGACTGTTGACGGAAGCAGGTGGCTTCTGGACGAAAGGCTCCATAAAGAACACGAGTGAGGATAGTGCCGATACAAACGTGGTTCCCCGCGTGGCACGAATGTCGCCGCGAAATCTTTCGGGGCATACACAGTCGGTTTTATACCAGCAGCAGCGTGACCGGCAGCACTGCAGCTAGTGGTGATTGTCGACCGGGACGATTACGACCGCATCAGCCTTGCGTTCGCGTGGCAATATGCATCACATTCCCGTTCTTTGGCGTCGTCCATGGCGGTGACGGCAGTTCTCATGTGCTTACTTGATTTACGGTGGCGTACATGGCCGCCGGTGCCAGGGCCGGTGCTTGGAGCAAGATCCGGTGCTCTGGAGCCAATATCGATATTGACGTGCGCGGCAAATCAGATCGCATCTATCGCTTTTGGGGGACACTAGGCTGGAGTAATAACCCGTGGATCCAGGACGGCAATGGCCTCTCGTTAAAATCCGCTACCTATGACAGGATCGCCATCTGCCCCATCTCGGACCTGCACATTCGGCGAACAGGGCCAACTGAATTTATTTTTCGCATTAAGCCGGTTGGACCCCGATCTTTTCACCACTCGCAGCCTAAACTCCGTCGGTGGGCGACGGCAATCTTGCTGGCATCCCCTACGTTCCCCATTGGGGGCGAATTAGCGCTCGAACCTGAGCTGGTTCTTCGCCATGCACCACCTTTCGACATGAATGGACCTGGGCCTCGGTCCAACAAGGTCGAGTGGTCGGGAGGCGAGAGGGGTACTTGGAAGTCGCTGACCAGCCTGTTGAACTGCAGCAGAGTGCGGATGGAATTCGCTGGTTTTTCACCACTCACCTACCAGAGTTATCTACTAATTCGGACGAGGACAGATCCGTTTGGGCCCTACGCTTGCGTCGTCACGGCGTCGTGTTTTACTCCCATCCCGGGCATCATGGCTTTCCTTGGGCCGTCGCCGAGTCGGTCGCGAACTTAGCTATACGAAAAGCTATTTCACGCCTGGCGTTCACGTTTCACAAAAGACTTCTTGCAGTCGCATTGCGACCGCTGGTGCGGCGTCTGGAGGCCGTCTGTGACTTCGATCAGTGGCAGCGGGCTGCCGCAAACCAAGACCCGGCACACGTTTGGAAGCATGACAATGGCCTTTCCGACCATCAGGTCTGACGTGTTACCGTATAGCCACCAAGCAACTCAACTTGTACCATGCCGGCGTCCGGCGGACAATAGTTGCCGGGCGTTATTGGCGTGTCACGGTTGCAAAGAAACGCCGGCTCACATCTTTTGGGACTGCCCCAAGGCGCGCGCGTGCTGGGGTCAACTCATTACCCATTGGACAGGTGAACGGGCTGGGAGGCCGTGGGAAGAGCGTTGGTTCGTCGGGAGTGTGAATCGTCACGCGCCGGAGATACCGTCAAGCAGCGTCTTCGGATTTACCATATGCTCCCGGAGGACTTAGAGGCTGGTGTCGCGGTTTGGAAGCGTCTCTGGTTTATTATGAGCAGCATTTGTCTGACTCACTTATGGAATGAGCGGAACGACGCGGTTTTTCGAGGAGTGCAGTCGACGCCTCTCCACAGCGCCGCGCGTTTTGGGCGCTGGGAATTCGACATCTTACCGCGTTAGCAAAACGCGAACATCGCGGTCCCGCCACAGCTGTCACCGGGGCTATCATGCATACCTGTATCGACCTCTTTATTCTCGAACCTCGGGATAAGCCGATACCTTTAGGTGACAGCCACGACAAGCTACCAGTTCCGGAGCTATTGTCCTGGCTTAGAAGTTTTCAGACATCTTTAGCATAATCATATGTTAATAGACGGACATGACAACAACAAATCAGATCGCATCCGAACGGCCCGGACCCGCTCTTTCAATAGAGGAGCGACTTATCAGGCAGCGCTGATCAGCGGCAGCCCGACCCCTGAAGCCCACGCCAGCATTTCGGCGTCTAGTAACGTCCACACGCCACTGTCTAGAGGTGGGACCACGACAATCAAGTTCAATCAACAAGTGACGCGCGTAACGGCTGCTCCTCCACACAGCCACGCCTGGTCACCGAAAGTTCAGCCACGATGGGCAAGAAGCCTCGAGGAGCCTAAAGGTGCGGTGAATTGATGGCGGAAGACGTGCTCGTGGATGTTTTTTGTATGGCTTCATGTCGCGTGTTACGTGCCCCGCTTTACTAATGCTAGGAAGGGGCATGACGGAAGATGGAGCGCCGGAGTTGTGATAGAAACATGAAGGTCTAACAAAGGATTTGTAGCCAGCTGGCTCATAGTATCAGCAGACACCTCTGTCGTCACTAGGGTTGCTGGAAACGAGGATAGTGACGCATGGTCGCTCTGACAGGGTCCGCAAGATACCGGTATCGGGCAGTCTCATCGCGTTTGAACAAATAGCGCTCTCTAATCGCGGGATCCGTTATTTCATTCTGGAATATTCGATTGGCTGGTTCAGTCCATACTCAGCTCAAGCTTATGGCAATCGAACCATGTCCAATCAATTCTACACCATCCACTCGATGGTGTCATTCAATCTTTGGCCCTTTGACAAAAATTGCGATCTCTATGATGTTAAAGATATTCTATGCTAATACTGAAAGCCGTGAAGTCCATGGACTCCTTGAGGCCAATGTGGAAGCAAAAATGTATTCAAACACTACTGAGAGAACGCCAGTTCTTCTGCCTACATGATCTCTGTCATTTCTGTACGCTTACTTCGTCTTCGATTCAAACTGGTCTTACGGCGTGGTCCACCATTATCTTTGCGCTTTCATAACATACTAGCTTCACAACAATCGCGAGTAGCTAAACTTTGGGTGCGGGGTCGAGTAACTGGGCGCGAGGAGGAGCCTCTAGAAACTGAGCCTGATATTACAGTCTGTTGTGTGAGCATCAGAAAACAAAAGCGCGTAGAGCACTACGTGAATCGTTAACGTAGATGCTTTCAATAGTTGGAGATTCTTGTTGCTATGTGATTGATGATGAGTTAAATGCGTGTCCTAGCAGACCAGATGGTCCTGTTCTCGTCGATTCTGAATCACCAAAATCCATCCATGTATCGATTCGACGATCAGTGTCGTGTCTACCAACGACCGCAAAGTGTTGACTACCCGTAGGCTTACCTTGATCTCAATGTGTCGATCATCAAAATGAAGTGGTGTAACTGGAGTGCTGCGCTCGTATCTGTTTACGGTGTGTATTTCTTCACTTTAATATCACATGTGAGCCATGGAGCGCAGCATTAGATAACTTTATAAGATCCACGGTTGTGGACAGAGCAGTACTCGATAAGTAGAGCACCCTTCAATCGCGTCGTTAGCACTAGCAATTGCCGCAGCAACTGTTTCGAAACTGCTCCATTGATAATGTAAGACACTGCTGGCAAGTAGACAGTATTGCGATGAAAAAGCTGCCTGACTTCTTTCAGTGCTGTGAGAATAGCAATTGGACTTTCACAGTCGATAAGCTGGCGACAAGTTGCGACGTACCAGTGCTCAATACACTACCTGAACCAGCTACGCATTTCTCTTCCGTGCGCATGAACTTGTAATGGCAGCAAATCCGCGGTGCATGCGAACACAGCACAACGAAACAACGATGGAAGAGCGACATTGTGCGTACGCGATGTCAAGGACTTCGATGTGACTGTTGATGAGGATGGTACGTTCAATGTGTTTGTTGGGGCACATACGTAGATGGGAGGCACATTGCAGCAGAAATGGCGATCTGAGGCAGGCTTGGTGCAGATATGTAGGGAGTGATGCACGCAATTTGAACGCGCCATTGTTTTAGTTCGGAAAAAGCGCCGTTAGAATACTCACTGTACATGGGCCAGCGGCCGTCGAATTGTGTTTGTGAAAACGTCAATTGACTGTTTAGCGTCAAAATATTTTTCGCACGGCTTGCTAAGAACTTGTCGTTTTGAACACGGCACACACAGGCAACGGATGGAGAATATTGACATCTCAAGCCTTTTTGTGATACCTTTGAGCTTCAGAATCTGAATTGAACATCCGTATACCAGCGTCACAATCTCCACGGAACTGGAGTGCTCATAGTAAGCGAATACTGTGAAACAAAGCGGCTCAGTGATAAGAGCATGGGACGAGGCGGACAACGACGTTCAAGGAGATGAGGAAGGAGACGACAAAACTAAATGAAACATCAATGGCGACTTGGGACTACCATGAGATGGCATTCCAACATCAGGATTGCCTCCAGAGTATTCTCTGCGTCTCTTTCAGTAACTTGGGCAATTCAAAGCCTCACTTTTCGTCACTTGTGAGCAGAAGAACTGGCTGCATCGAAGCACTCGGTCCTAGTGCTTTAGATCGGCCGCTGGCTTGCATCCATGCCACCCAGCTTTTCCAGCTCTTCGTTGAGCTCCTTTAGATCCTTCGACTCGAAAGCCCCAGCAGCATCATCACCTGTTGGTATACTTCCTGTAGAAGTTGTGGCGCCAAACGGCAATCCAGATGCAACAGCCGACACAATTGAGGGTGGAATCACACTTCCCATGGTCGAAATCGGGTTCGGAAGACGACTCAGAGGCGTGCTTGCGATAACCTGCTCGGCCAACGGGCCTGCGAGCGACGTCGCAGCTGAGAACATAGACTGTAGTCCGATAGTAGCCATGCCTAGCACGTCATTTAGCTACGCCCCGCCACAGTCAATCAAATCGCACATCAGTCAGTTACACACCCAGCCGTCAAAACGCATTAGCAGTCGATAACTGCACGTACATTCTGGGGCAACTCCCCAAGTTGGATTGTTTCGTCCACCCGGCGGTCCAAAAACGCCCACGTGTCCTGAAAGCCCGGCGACTTGTCATTCAGCATAAAAAGCTCCGTGCTCGCATGAATGCCAGTGAGAATCGCACGCTTCGTGTACCATGAAAAGTCCGTCGACTTGTCACCAGCAAAGTACCAGATCTCATCCGACAGCTGGGCCAGTTTCTTGGCCGTGCTAGGAGCGTTCTGTGGCAATGCACCAAGCGCCATTCCTTGCGGCCACGAACCGATGAGCGGCGCCAACATCTCGAGACGCGTACGAGCACCAAATTTGATCCGTTCTGCCACAGTCATAGCCTGCAGCTGGCTCGTGTGACGAATCAACGTCTCGCGCAGCTTGGCCAGACTTGAGTCCATGAAATACTTCACCAGCTCAATTGGTCCGCGCGAGAACATTCCGTGAGCTACGGACGGATACCCGAGGTCCTTGGCACCAGCTGCTAGAGCATTTACAGTCCATCTAACACATGGGTACAGACCAACAATGGGTACAATAACAAGTCAGCAGCAGGTGGGTAGACATGGGTACAGTTAAAGATGTGGATATGTTACGAGAGGTTATTCACTTTTCCAAGTCTGGAGACTTTGGGCTGCAAACGTACCCGTGAATTGGTACATGTTCCATCGCCTTGGCCAGTATGCGCTGCTCAGGGTCGTCGAACGACTCTGGTTGGGCAGTTTTACTGTTGACATTCGATTGGGTGCTGTGGCAACGCAGCTGATGAGCGACTGGCGGTCTCTGGTAGCACTGGAGGGTCGAGCGTCCAAGTGTCGAGGTGGCGTAACCGAGGTTACGATTGGTCCTGAGATTGGCGGCGAGACGGCTCGACCGACGGATGAGACGCTCGAACGCCATGATCAGATTTGGTGGAGAGCTTCTGAGCGGTTTGTTTCGTGGTGCTTTTCGTTGAATTGAAATGTGAAGGAGACGGTGTTCGAGAGGGGGGAGGAGGATACAGTGATCTTTTCCCTGACAGATCCCCGTCCCCGGGTGAGTCTAAGTACACCTACAGTTATTGCGAAATACACCTACAAGTCATAGCCTATCCAATTCACTTGCATAACCGCAATCGACGAATACTGAGAGAGCATCGCCTCTTTAACAAGAGAACAGTCACAATTTAGCAAAAGAACAGCCACAATTTAGCAAGAGAACAGCCACAATTTAGCAAGAGAACAGCCACAATTTAGCAAGAGATCATTCATAAACTGGAGTCCCCCCCGTTGATTTAACATGACACTGACCTCTTTCATGTAGCAGAATTCACAACATTTCATTGTCTCTTTACAATTGTAAGAGCTGTCCATTAGCAGCGCAAGAGCATGCCGACATGATGATGATAGATTTTGTACTAGAACGGATGGAGGCAATATACTCATGCTCTTAATGAAGACTCTGCATTCGCTCTCACGCACGGATACTTAAAGATAGCTTATTAAAAGTGGTTGCTTGCTCTTGCAGTAATGATATTCGTCTCCTTTAAGTGGTTCAGTATATTTGAATTACGAAAAAGTATGGCACGTGTTACATGCATTTTTAAGTGAAGATTGGGGAGCAAACTCTGGAGCTCGCCTCTAGATATAAGCAATTCAGTTCGGAGAACTGAATCAAGTTGCAAAAATCTTTACAACAGCAGTCACTGAAGAATGAGTGTGTTGCTGTTGATGTATGTTTAAACACAGTACAATATACTTAGGCAACGCAATCGGCCTGTGCTTATCAGCGTCCAGCATTTGCTAACGTTATCACTGTAACGGGGCACCCTGAAGCTTGTACTGATGACAGTACAAGCTACTTATTCTGATGACAGAATAAGGCGGTGTCTCGTAACTTCACGTACACTCGTACGTGCAGAGGAAAACGGTAAGAAGAAGCGAGTACTTGGTTAAAGTAAAAAGTAGAACTGTATTTATAATAGTTAATGTCTGCAATAAATCACTATTTATCTTCATCTAACTATGTCTAAATACAAATGTGTAAATCAATTATCTGCTCACCACTCATTGCGTGCGTCTGTCGTGGCGCGTCTTCGTTGGTTGATATAATGGCCTATATCAACCAATTAGGAACTACTCGTAAGTGCTACAGAATATTTGTCCTTATGATAATATTCTGAGAATATAACTCTTATAGTTATATTCTATTAACAATTTCTTATATATTGTTATGTAACGATTCACCCCGTTACATCACCCCCCCTTAACCATCAGTCACTTTAGTGACTGATTGACTAAATGGATACTCGTCCCGAATCATTTGGGACAGGGTTTGCACTTGTTGGTTCGAGTCCACTTTCCAACAATTCATCGCATGGTTAACAAGCCCATGCGATGCGCGAGCAAGGCCGCCGAGAGCGCGTCCGCACGTCTCTGTGCGGACACCGAAGCAGAAACCACAGCAACTGATGTCTCATCGGTTGCTTAAGCGACCCAGCCTGTGTCATTTGGTGATGCAGGCGCTAGTCATGAAGACACTCATGTCTTCACAGAGTATGAGCTCGGTGTCTCGTACTCTCCTGATACGGAAGACGGATCCGTATCGACGGCGATCGAATCCAAGCCGCCTGCCAAGCGTGGCATGGATGATGCTTTGCGTCGCAGCATCTTTGGTTCATCTAATGAATCAGATGAACTATCGCCGAAGCGAAGGCGCTCGAGGTCGCGAGACTCGGGCGCTAACAGTGGTACCGGTTCTCCTATTGACACCACTTCACAGCGAGGTGCCAGTACTTCTGTCGGCACGTCGCAGGAAGAGCGGGACCGCAATGTCTTGCGTCTCGCTCCAGAAAAGAAGGCATGGATGCCTCCAAAATCCGTCATGGATCACTTGTCGGCGACGACGAGTGATCGTTATCGAACACGATTGTTCGATTCGTCAAGGATCCATTACCTTGACCCCAGCGCGAAAAACTATCGCGCTGAACATGAATTCTTCATCGATGCTTTCTTTAGACATCGATGGTACAGTGGGAATCACAAACGTGATGGTCCCTCACTACTTCAGGCGTGGAACGCCTACATCCATAACCTCGAGGATGTAGGTCGTGACGCTTGGAACGACAAACTTATCAAAGCTCGTGATAAGTTTGAAAAGCGAAACCAGACAGGTGCACGCTACAAGCTGCATCGTCTGTCAAGGGAGAAAGGATTACCCTGCCTCTCTTGGGGAGACTCGTGCCCATGTTGTGTGAACAACTCTGCACGAGCACCTAAGGAGGCTTACCACCTTACCAGCCCGTGGTGGCGCGTACGTGTCTCTACTGAGATGTACGAAGGGATTGACAACCTGAAATCCCTTTACGACCGTGCCGGGAAGACTTTCTCCGGCGGTCCTTCTGCGGCACAGGATGTGCCGCGTCGTACTGCTCAACCAGACTTAGTACGTCGATCATCAGTTGGGAGCGGGGCTCCCAAGAATGCCAGGACGGGGGATAGCCGCGCCACCGGACGAGATAACTCGTCCGACGTCCGTTCACGTCGCGGTGGTTCAACAGCTGCTCAACTAGATAGCGCTGGCCACCGCGAGAGTCCTCTAATGGAGGTGGAGGAGGAGGAAAGACGCTCTCCACACGATCGTGTGGATCGGTGTGTTCCCGAGAGCTTCTTTGATCGCGTAACGCAAGGGTTACGCGACGATCTCGAACATGAGCGGAATAGGCGTCTCCAAATGGCGGACACTGCCTCGAAGCATCGAGCTGAGTTTGCCTTTGCTCAGCTTGAGAACGAGAGATCTCTGATATCTCTTCGTGACGAGCCAAGGGTAGCTCGTGGGATTGCTGATCGGTCTCGGGATGAGATAGCTGCTCTTCAGACCCTTGTTGATGCCCACCATCGGGAGCACAAGGCTCTCTGCGAGATGCTTGAGCGCCAGGGCGTTCTTCATCGGAAGAAGCAGCGTACTGATGGTACGGCTTAAGCCGACCAACGTAAAACGTGGGATGCGTCCGCATCCTACGTGGTAACTCGATCGTGTATGCATTGGCTAGGCGGTGCAATACACGAAATGGGCCGATGTACTTGGGTAGTAGTTTACTGCTACCCAAGTTAGTCACTACATGCTTTGGTAGATTAACCGTAGACAGTAGGACTAAGTCACCTTTATTGAATAAAAGAGTGTTTGCCCTTCCATTCTTGTCAGCGTTTTGCTTTTGCTTATCCACCGCTTCGGCGATGGAGTCTTGCACAAAACGGACTACCGTTTCACGAGCCAGTATGAACTCATCTGATGACTCGTTAGCTTCAGTGTGCTGTGAGCGCACTGCAGCAACATCAACCTTTTCTTCAGTGAGGGCTTCCGCACTCTCACTGGCATCATCTTCTTCAGTGAGGGCTTCCGCACTCTCACTGGCATCATCTTCTTCGATATCGATGTTATCGATATCGGCATCAAACGCAATGACTTCTTCGTCAGAGCGTGATGAGCGTGAACCAATTCGGTTTTTGCTCGCGCGAGTCCCTCCCCCCTTAAACCAGAGTTACACTCTAGTAAGGTGGGTACACGCGGATGGCGCAAGCCATTCACGTAAAACGGTGTATGTGTCGTGGACGCATGCACCGAGTTGTTAATGGCAAACTCTACCATTGGCAAAAACTCACTCCAACATTTAAAGGAGTGTACGATCCTCGAAGTATCTCTTCAAGGACACGATTGGCACGTTCCGTCTGACCATCTGACTCTGGATGATCAGATGTTGACATCTTCAAGCGCGTTCCGAGTGATTTAAACACGGAACGCCGGAAATCAGCAGTGAATCGTGGATCTCTGTCTGATACGAGTTCACGGGTCAACCCATGAAGTCGGAAGATGGTGTCAATAAAGACACAAGCACAGCCACTTGCCGTGATTGTCTCTGGTACAGCCACAAGGTGTACCATTTTGCGGAATCTGTCAACAAATACGAGAATACCCGTATTCCCGCGTGCGTCTTTGGGTAACCCGAAGACAAAATCCATTGAGATGGATTCCCAGCACTCAGCCGGAACTGGTAGACACTGTGAAGGTGCACGCAGTGAAGGACTTGACTTCACTCGTTGGCAGACTTCGCATGCGCGAATGTACTTTCGCACAAACTGATACTGGCGGAGCCAGTAAAAGTCTCGACTTACCGTGAGATATGTTTTCTCTCGGCCACGATGTCCTCCTATAGGAGCATCGTGATACTCGAACATGATCCGCAAACGCAGATCAGTATCATCTGGAATGACAACACGTGGTGTGTCACCAGAAACGGCTGTATAATACAGTAACCCGTTACGAGTAGTGTATCGATCTGATGCAGATCGATACGCAGACGACAATCGTTTCAACGATTCTCGAGATGGTTGGGAGAGATGTGACAACAACTTCACAATCTCACCATCTTGGGCGTATGCCCGCCTCACATCATCATACAACGTTGTAGATGGGACTGAGGACGTCATAACCGCAACAGTGACTGTCTCACTGTTGGGTTTCGCGACTGTTTCAAAGTCGGGACGACGTGAGAGTGCATCAGCGACGACATTAAGTCGTCCTGGTTTGTACTCGACCGTAAAGTTGTATTCCGCAAAGAATGATAACCACCGCGCCATTCGTTGTGAAAGGTGCGGGCTGTTCACTGCCGTGCGTAATGACGCATGGTCAGTGTAAACAATGAAGGGTCTATCTCCTAAGAGATAGACTCTAAACTTCGTGAGTGCATACTTCATGGCAAGGAGTTCCTTGTCATGCACTGGATAGTTCCGCTCAGCTGGTTGCAGCTGACGCGACTGATAGCAGACGACGCGATCAACGCCTTCAAGATCGTACTGCATTAATGCACAGCCGATTGCGAAATCGCTGGCATCACAGACCACATGAAATGGCCTGTCCTGATC